CTTCACAAACAAATCATCCATAATTCATCACTTCCAAAGAGATGACCAAAGTTCTCACAGACAAGTTCAGCAAAAATCACAGATGACAAAGACTTCCATGAAACATTTGAAACTAAAGTCCCATGCGTGAAGGGAAGATTTTTTAGCTAATAACTACTCCTTGAATTGCTTGCTTTAACTCAAAAAAAAAAAAAAAAATGCGTTAAATATTACAAACCCTGTGAAAACGATTAGCGCTTTCGGCAATCTGACTTCCGCATGCTGCAGACTGAGACCACTTTGTACGATACAATACATGTGGATGACGTCGGCCTTTATCACCTCCGTCTAATGGCCAGATACCATAGGCTGAGCCATTATCAAAAGCAATTACACCACTGCAAAGGCACAATTTTCCAGTCGCTGCTAAGAGAAAAAGTAAGGGAAACACCAGCAAGTTTAACAAAAAGCATTCCGGGAAAATTTACCGCAATCCATTACACGTTGATAAAGCGACAAATGAGGATTCTTCACCATTCACAGTGCCCTGATAATAGCAATTTTCGATGCGCCTACTGACCGGAAAGTCACCACCGCTATCAAGCTGAAAATAGGTATGTGAGCAATTGAAATTGTCAAAAAGTCAGAGAATGAAAGCAGACTTCTGGTCAAATTAGGTCATATGTCACAAATTTTTCGGTTCATGGCGCTAACCATTGGGGAATGAATTTTAAACGGAAAAGCAAACGGGGTGAGGGGTTGCCTCAATCATCGAGAAAGAATTTTAAAAGAGGAAGAGACGAGAAGTGTTGCATTAACACTTAGAATGTGATTTTTTGAAAAATATGGACGGGAGAAGATGGGGGAGAAGCAAAAAGACAAAAATTCAAGAATTTCAAGGACACACAAAATGCACAGAGAGTCTTATGCCCAAATGAACAAGGAATGCCTGAATGTCGCTGAGGCTCGAGAAACCCGACGCACCTTTCTAAAATTGGTTTCATTCACAAATAACAGTTCATTAAGGCCCAACAACAGTTTCAGACGTCCGATAAATGTGCTACGGATAACGATCGTCACTTGCTTGTAGTGGACAGTTCCGTTCAAAAAATAGTTCCTGCAAAAAAAAGACCAATAGCGCGTGACAAGTCCAGAAAGAGAAGTGCGAGAATCAACTGATTATGGAAAGCCCGTTTCATGCCCACGTAATTCCTTACTAATATTTCAGTACTTGATATTTTAAACGGCTACTCGATCACTACTGGTGTGCGCATATTCGCTAGATTCTTCAGCATTGTAATCGATTTCATGCTTTTCCTTAATTTCATGCTATTTTATCTATTACTGCATCGCCTGGTAGTCAGTCTTTTGGCGATCCTCACGGTCCTTTCATCTTCTCTAAGATGCGCAGATAAGCACACTGTACTCTGTTAAACTGAACGCAACATTATGCTAAGCTGATTG